CAGCCTGCTCAGACATCTTTTGATCGGCCCGCCAAATCCTACAATACTAAATGATCATGGATTCTGATAATATTCATCACCAATGATATTTTCTACAAGGTTTGCATAGGTAATAAGCCTTGCTCCTAAAAAAAAAATGCTTTCCTCAGCTAATATTTTAAGAAATGTCTCTTTGTAGTTAAAAAACTCAATACTTTATTTCATCGGGAAAATTTGTGCATCCTTTTCCCTAAGTCTTTTTTCCTTCTGCCCTGTCATTTCAGTAATATTCCTTCCATTCCCCATTAAATCAAAGTTAAGTTCTCCAACTTATGATTTTGTTCCCATTTTTGCAGTTGTGGCACTTATGTGCTAGCAAATTTTACTGCATATGTACTTATAGGGTTACATATATTCTGTGGTTCTCCCGAAGCAAAGATACCCTCCTAACAGTTTCTTGAGGACGTGAATACACACCATTCTCCTCAAACTAGCACTGGCCCATTGCGGGAACCACTTCTACCTGTTTGTTTTTCTTTTCTTGCTCTGTGTCAAAATGGTATTTTTTGATTTCTGCTAGCACACCTAGTGCCATGCAGTCTCTCTGCAGTGCTTCAATAGATAGGGAACTTTCACTTTTCCCTGGGCAATGGTAGCTTTCCTCCACAGCTTTTTCTCTTCGGGCTGCCTGACCCACTTTAGAAGGAAACATTCCCTGTAAATCCAGACTACAGTTTGTTTTCTCAGGCACACATCAAGCCTGGCCTGGGGCTGCTTATGCCAAAGGGGCAATTACTTGGAATATCTGATTCACCAACTGCTATATGGCGAGCATGACCATACCACTGAAAAGTGCAAGAATTTGATGTGAACAGGTAATGTGGCAGCTGTTTTTGTCCTCCTGTCTCTGCTTGTCTTCTTATCCCATGTAAATATCCCATTTTGTCTATTCCATTGTCATTCCGCACACTCCACAGCATACTTCAAGGCACACTTGCCACTTCCTGCCAGCATTTCCTTGTAAGCTAGGATGAAATTCACAAGCGATCTGAACATTTCTCCTTCTAGCTGTAAAAATTACCCAGGATTGTTCTAAGAGACTAATACATCTTTGTCCCAAAATAACACAGTTGGTAGATTGCTAGGCTGGAAAATGACCTGAAGCACCTCTTCTTTCTTCCAGGGATTTGTCAAATTGGTTATTTTTAGATGAAAATCTTACAGACCACTGGTAGACTGGTTTACTCTTCTTCCTGTCACATGGAGCTTTCAGAAGACTTGTAACTTATGGTCAAAAACAACCAAAATGGCAGCTTATCTATATGAAGCAGTGGAACTAATCTTTTATCAAATCCTTCCTGCCCAAATAGTTGAAGCCTTTGTGAACATTCTAGCTAAAGTGTGTGAACCGAGCAGAAAACAAACATCATTTGGGTTTTAAAGGATTATAATAGCTACAGTATCAGCAAATACTTCCTGTTTGGGCAAGGTGACTGAACTATTTCTTAAAAATTACTGATTAGGGAGAAAAAGAAAGGAAGACCTTATGTGGCCTGCAATGCCCTCTTGTCCCTTGGACACTCTCACCTGATCCTCTTCTTCAACATTACTCTCAATGTTACGTTTCTGCCACTAACTTGCTTGCAAACTTGGCAAGTTGAATATGGATTTCAGTTATCTCGACATTCTGTTGAGAAACAATCTCTTCCATTTCTAAGAAGTTTCTGACTTGTGTAGCTGAGGAAGGCAGAGGACGATCAACCACTTTTGACTAGATACCAATCAATAAGGACAATTTTGAGCAAATCTATGCAGCCAGGGTGCATGATGCAAGTACAGCTCATTGTTTCCTTAGCACATGTCTGTATACTTCTGCCTGTATCTGAGGTTCAGATGCTGAACTGGGCAATGCCTGTGGGAATGTGCTATGTGTTAACCTTTTAAATCAGAAAGCGAGCAATACAATTTGTAAACTCACTTTTGTAGTACTGGATTTCCTTCTCTCACTGTGACAGGATGTGGTTTATTTAAAGAATCAGAGTGAGTCTTTAAAGCAGGGCTTTTCAACCTTTTCACAGATTCTACCACTTTTAGGACATGACAATATTTGAGTACCACCAGTGCTTAACAAGGTGTCAAAAACTTGACTAAAAAAAGGGGGGATTTGGGGTTTTACTGATTAGATTCATTTGTTGTTATAGAAATGGCTAGTTTATAATATTATGGAAAAGTAAAAAGCTGAGGTTCAACGTTAATGCTTCCTTCTACTGCAATAGAAGAAGTCTGTTCTTTTTCCCTTCTCCCCCTCACTTTCCCCCCCATTTTCCTCCCCACTGTGTCCTACTATTTGCTTTTGTATTTTTGTATTTTATTCTATAATCTAATAAAATATTACAAACTGTAGGAAAAAAAGTAAAAAAGTACCAGTTTTAATTTCTTTGGTGGCTATTCCTTTGCTGAATCACTTTCCATTTGCACTGACAAATGTATGATGAATTTATCCATGTTTATTAATATGCACCACTACCAGCTAGCTCAGGGGTCTTCAAACTTGGCACTTTTAAGACTTGCGGACTTCAACTCCCAGAATTCCTCAGCCATCATGGCTGGTTGAGGAATTCTGGGGGTTGAAGTCCACAGGTCTTAAAGTTGCTAAGTTCGTAGACTCCTGAGCTAGCTGGTCGGCCCTTCTTCCTCTCTCCCTTCTGAGCTCTTCCACAGTTAATAAGAATACCCCCCCAATCCCTTCCCTGTACCCTTAAAGACATAGGAATTAAGTGCAAAGAAACACAAACTCCGTTTTTTTCTCTCTTTAAGTTGCCTCAGGCGTGTTACGTGTCACAATGTTGCAATCCTCGACTGAAAAGCTCCAGCAATTGCGAAAAGCTTTAGCTTTAAATTAAGCCTATTTACCTTTAAAGAAAACTTTTTAAAAGCCATAGACAGACTCAATTAAAGGGGGTAAAACTAATTACATTTGTTTAAAGGGATTAAACCTTTCCTGTTGTCTTTTTTCCCTTCCCCCACCCAAACCACCTCCTTTTATAGTCTCTTTCCCCCTCCCCTTTTCTTCAGTTCACCTCCAGCCCCGCGCTGCTTCCGGAAGTGCCAATCAGCTGCAGCCAATCAGCTGCAGCCCTGCTGGCTCCTGGGGCTTCTGCCGAGCCTAGACAGTCCTGCAGCTGCAGCTGCCTCTCCCTCAGGCTTGGCTCGCTTAGGCTCATTCCCCTCCCCTGCTGCACTTTGCTAGCAGTCGCGTACCACCTGCCACGTGGCAAAGTACCACAGGTGGTATGTGTACCACTGGTTGAAAAGCCCTGCTTTAAAGAAACCTTCTTGGGTCCCGACAATCTTCAGAGAGATTCTCTCCCCTATGCTATTATTTCTGGATTACTGGTTACTGATAATATGGAGCAAGTCTTCTATATAATAGCATCATGCTATGGAATGAGTTTATTGTTATTTAATCTGTTTTATTCCATTTTTATCTTATTTTTCCTTATTTTATTGTGGAGCAATTTTACGATTATTATAAAATGCTTTAGGATTGTTTTTTGATGAAAAAAATTATGGCACTCCCNCATTTGGAAACTTTTCCTGGCCCTCCAAAGTCATACCCTTCATTACATATTGTCTCAATTTCATCATTGTATGTATATTGAGCTTGTCTAGGTCGAAAGTGGCCATTTGTCATTTGTGGAGGGGAACACTGAATTTCTATGGAGGAATATGAATAAAAATATGTGGTCAATCTTTTACACCATGAAACAAGAACATTTACCTATCCCAGGTCCTTGGGAAGTTCTCAATAGGTGGACAACAATGCCAAATCCAATCTGAATATCTGGCTGACTGTGTGATGAACAATAATGATAATCAAGGTTAGTAAAAAAAACACACAGCTGTTAGAGACAACTTAAGGTTGCTCTCACTGGTCACTGACCAGCCAATCCCTGGCTAATGCACTTTCTTTGCTAGCTACCTTACCTTCAGGACTAGGGATCGATATGAAAGACAACAGAGACCCTAAGAGATTAGTTGATCCCAATGACTTTCCATCATTTATTGACCAGTTATTTACCCAGCCATTTATCGGTCATTGATCCCGGGGGTTGATACCGACCATGTTGGCGAACCCTGCCCTAAAGCTGCTGCTCCATTCTTACTTTGTTGCTTAGCTTTATGTGATATTACAATACTCAGGAAAAAAAAGAGTGAAATTAGTGCCCAAATGTAAGAACCACCAATACTGAAGTCATAAGATGATTTCAGTCTAAAACAAAGATGGCCAACTGATTTGTGGATCAATTCTGCCCTTTACACATATCTCTAAAATAGATTGAGTTGCCTCCTTGTGGGATTATCACCCAAATTTTCCCTAAAAGAAACAATTACTTTTTCTACACTTTGTGAGTTAGATACAAACTGTCTTGGTGAATTGTGTTCCTCTGTCCAAGAAATGCTACATGAAACATTCATTCCTATTTAGCCCCTCATTTATTGCTGAGTCATATTACTTATGATAGATTGCAGAGAGAAATAAATGCTTGCCTCAAACAATCTTCAGAAGAATAATGCCCTTCTTTGAAGAAAGATATTTCTAAGTCTGATCAATTAAGATTAAAGGAAGTATAATATGCCATTCAGCTCCACAAGTTCCAGGAACTCATGAACCCTGAGTTTTAATTAATCAAAGATTATTAAAATATTGAAATTATAGGCATAATGGTTCTTTTTAAATTATCTCTTTAAAATTAATGATAGCTAGTTTAGGAAATCAATTCAGTATGCATGTAAATAATCCATAAATCTAGAGGAAAATTGAAACAATATTTTCTTTTATACGATAAGGAAGAGGGTTGCTGGAGGCAGCCAAAAGAAGGAAGAGTGGAGTATTTTTTCTTTTGAAATATAAGGATGAATGTTGTTGCTTTTAATTTAGTACATTTAAAATAATCTGTAGCTGTGTATTCTGTTGTGGTGGTGGTTGAAACTCCCTAATTTTCATGAAATCTGATGGGCCAGAAAAAGGAATAGAAAAAACCCAGATATAAATAACATATTTTCACCACTAGAGGGAGCTGAAGTTAAACATGAAGATGTTTAATTCTGAGCTGGAGTTTGTCATCAAAGAAATCTTCCAAAAGTCTATACAGGGGTAGGCAACCTTGGCTCTTTTATGACTCGTGGACTTCAACTCCCAGAATTCCTGAGCAAGCCATGCTGGCTCAGGAATTCTGGAAGTTGAAGTCCACGAGTCATAAAAGAGCCAAGGTTGCCTACACCTGGTCTATACAGAAAATCAGTTATATCATAGATAAACTAGGGTTTAATGATGCTAATGATACAGAGGAGATTACAAGAGATTATCAACCCACTGTAGAAAACTATTGACCTACTGTGTCAACTCTACAAATGGGGGATAACACAAATAATCTAACTGTACCTTTGAAATATAAATCTGACATCAGCTTTTATGATGATGATGGTTTGAGTATAATTCTCCCAATGCAACTGAAAAAAGAATGTCAAGTAAATTCACAACTTTTAAGAGGTCAAGTTTTTTCCTCATAGATATCAACAAGGTCGAGAATTCTTTGAGAATAAAAGTTATGATAGACATCTCAGAGATGGAAATTTTATTCTACAAGGATTTGGCCCAGGTTAATCTACAATGTTTAACAGTACAATCTTGGAATATTTGCCTTATGGATATAAATAAGACTGAGAACTCCTTGAAGAAAAGATAAATACCCTTGGGAAGAAAAAATATTCATTCTATGAAGACAAGCTGGAGGGAATGACTTAAATTTAATGATTAAATTAGTTAGGATGGATTTTTATAAGTTTTGAAATATATATATTGAAAGAAAGCATTAAGGTAGCTTCATGTGTATACAATAAGTTTGTAAATATATGTCCTCTAGTTTTTTTGTTTGTTTGTTTGTTTTCTAACACTGTGAAAACCTTAATGTAGTTTTGTGTTTTGGTTCCGGGTTTAAAATACAGAAATTTTTGTTGTTGTTTTGTTTTGCTTTGCTTTCCCTTTTATGTATAATATTTGAGTATTATACTCAACTTGAGCTTAAAGTTAGTAAAATATCTAAACTAGGGAAAGGGTTGTCTCCCTTTGCGTTTAAAAATAATTTTAAAAAATTGAAATTATATAGAGGATTCCCTTAATATGAATTATGATAAAGATTAATGTCAATAGAGGTATATATTATTCCCCACTGCAAAGAGAAGCAGAGATGGTCAAACTGATTCTTATATCCAAAGAAGAGAATATATCTAATCTTGCTTCTACTTTGAAATTGCTTCCAGATTTTCTGCTTGCAATGAAAAAGAAAAATGAAAACTTGATTTGTTTTTGTTAATTAGATTTATTGTTATAAAAATGGTTTATACAAACTGTTGTGTAAAAGCAAAAAGTTGTGATTGTAATGTTGTTATCTTCTATTGTGCTAAAGAGAGTCAGAAGTTAATACCCTTTTCTTTTCTTTTCCCTCTTTCCCTCTTTCCCTGTTATCTTTTTTTCTTTTCCCTCCCCCTTCTTCTAATTTTCTATTACATTTTTGAATTTCTCTTTGTATTTTACATTTTGACAAGCCAATAAACTATTATTACTGAGTAAAGGGCAGTTTCTTGGAAAACCTGATCTACCAACTCTGATCCACCTCAGTTGGCTGGGTAGACCAGTCTCTGTTTGTCTTTTCTGGCCGGGTAGACCGGTCTCCATTCGGCTGGTCTGTCCGGGTAGGCCAGTACACATGTCAGTGAGAGGAGCAGTCCCGGAAAGTCTGGGAAACAAGTCCTCCAGCATACTCTGATCTGCGGGCACAGTTCCTTCGGTCGGTAGCGACTCAACCATGACTGAGTCATCCAGCATATCTCCTTGAGTTGCGAGGATTCTGGCGGCTCAGAAGTGCCACAGCTGTCAGGCAGCCCTTGGCTCTCCTCATGGTCAGCGGCGAGGGTTTGTCTACCCTGCCGCCGATGCAGCTGATCGATGTGGCGGCGCAAGATGCACCAGTCTTCCAGGACCACTTTGTAAGAGAGTGGTCTTGACACCTTACAAACCACAGCTACCACCCACAGTGCCCCTTGACCATACTCGGTCGCCGACCTGCAACTTCCTCAGGGGCTTGGGCTGCGCTGTCTCTGTTGCAACTCGGTCTGGATGGAGATGGTCCAGCTTCGTGATCAGCTGATGTTCCCATCTCAACTCCACTAGGCTACGACCCATTGAAGTGCATGGAATTGTGTGGTGGCAGAGCAAAAAGTCTGCCAACCTGTGATGCCAATTTCCCCTGGTTATTCTTTTAATTGTTTCTTTGGTCGTCCTGACCATCCTTTCCACTTGACCGTTAGAGGCCGGGTGAAACGGGGCTGAGGTGGCATGTCTAATCATATTAGACCTTAGAAATGACTGAAATTCTGCAGCAGTAAATTGTGCCCCATTATCCGATATGATTACATCAGGTAAGCCATGTGTGGCAAAGATTCTGTGCAATTCCTGGATGGTCCTGGCAGTAGTCATAGAAGGGACAGGTGCTACCTCAAGCCACTTTGAGTGACTGTCAACTACAATGAGGAACACCTGTCCTTGGAAGGGTCCTGCGTAGTCTATGTGAATCCTAGTTTGGGAGTTTGCGTAGTTTCCCAGCGATGTACTGGGGCTTGAGGCATTTCAGGTCTGGACTGTTGGGAAACCTGGCATCCTTTAACTTGAGCCTCAATATCCCTATCCAACCCTGGCCACCACAGGTAGCTTCTTGCAAGTGCCTTCATCCTGACTATTCCAGGATGTCCCTCATGCAGAGATTCTAAGACTCTTTCCCTTAATGTGTGTGGGACTACAACCCTGCTCCCCCAAAGAATATATCCTTTGTATGCAGATAGCTCATCTTGTCTTCTAATAAAACTCTATAATTCTGTTCCAGGACTGGTTCCTGGCCACCCCCTCAGCATCCAGTTCAAAACTTGGCTGAGAGTTTTGTCGGAGGCTGTCTCAGCAGTCACATCCCTGGCGTGAAGGGGAGATTCAGGCAAATCCTGAATTGACAGGATGCGTTCAGCAGGTGCGAGGTCTGGTTCTAAATTAGGCAGGGGCAATCTGCTGAGTGCATCAGCATGACCCATTTCCTTACCAGGCTTATGGACTAGCCTGTAATTGTAGGCTGCCATAAAGATTGACCACCTCAGCATCCTTGGAGACAGGATCTGAGGGGTTTGCTTGTCTGCAGTAAACAGATCTAGAAAGGGCTTGTGGTCTGTAAAGACCGTAAATGGGCGACCATAAAGAAAATCGTGGAATTTGTTTATACCTGCAACTATGGCTAAAGCCTCCTTATCAATTTGCGTGTAATTTCTTTCCACAGGGGAAAGTGTCCTTGAGTAATAAGCTATGGGTGCTTGCTCCCCGTTTGCCATTACATGGCTCAGAACATGCTCCTATCCTGTATGATGACTCTCACTGATAGGCAGTTTTTCATTAAAGTGTGTTAACACGGAGCCTGAAGACAGCAGTGATTTGGCTGCTTTGGAACTATTTTCATGGCCACTAGTCCACTGCCATGGTGCCCTTTTATCTAGGAGCCTATGTAGAGGCTCTGCTAATGCAGCCTTGTGAGGAAGAAAGGCATGATAAAAGTTAAGTAACCCCAGAAATGCTTGCAGCTCCCCCTTTGACTTAGGTTGGGGACCCTGCAAAATAGCCTTAAGCTTTGACTCAGCTGGGTGTATTCCAGCAGGAACTCTGTGGAGTTGACTCCTATTTGACATTTTTCTCTTTTGAGCTTAAGCCCCGCTTCGTGAAAACGCTGAAGAACAGCCCTTAAACATTCTGCTGACTTCCCAGCAATTAAAACATCGTCGAAATAAGGACAAACACCTGGAATGTTTTTTAACGTGTGTTCCATCACACTCTGAAAGAGCCCTGGGGCTACACTGACCCCAAACTGCAGGTGACAAACCTTGTATGCCCCTCTATGGGTAACTATTGTTTGAACCTCAGCAGAGGCATCATCTACAGGCAGTTGCTGATAAGCCTATGCCAGGTCCAGCTTTGCAAATAAGCAACCTCCTTGTAAGGATGCCAGAATGTGGCTGACTACAGGTACCGGATATGCATGCTGCTGCAGTGCCTTATTAATAGTGCACTTATAGTCAGGGCAGATGCATACCTCTCCGTTAGGCCTGACCGGTGTAACTATGGGGGTTTCCCACACACAGCTGTCAATGGGTTGTAAGACTCCCTGTTGAACAAGCTTATCTAACTCTGCATCAATCTTGGGCTTAAGGGCAAAAGGCACTCTATGAGGCTTTACTCTGATTGGGGCTATGGTTGGATCAAGGTGGAGAGCAATCTGTATTTCCCTAAATTGGAACTGAATATGTCCGCAAACTCATTTCCCGCCATGTCTGCAGATGAAATTAAAAGTCTTATAGGAAATTATAGACACAGCTGATCCAGTGTCCAGTTCCGTGGAGCACGGAACTCCTTGCAGCTTGACTTTTAGTCTAAGCTTTTATTTTAGGGGATGATGGGCTTCAGTTCTGAGGATGCTCCTTCTTCCAGAGCAAAATCCTACTCTATTCTGCCCTGGGGCCCCATTACTGCTCCTGGGGAAGTCTTTGCATGGAGATTCCCTCTGGCGACCTTTACAGACGGTAGCGATGTGGCCTTGTTTGCCACATTCTCGGCACACAGCTGTGCAAAACTGGCATTCTGAGCACTGGTGTCATCCATCGCAACCAAGACAGCTAGGGAAGAAAACTGCCTTGTCAAGCAGCAGCTGCCTTCTTTCTGGGATCTTCTGACCCGGTCGATCTCAATGTCTACATCTGGGTCTTCTGTTCTCTCTGACTCTTCATGATGCACAGTCATCTGTCTGGGAAGATTCTTTAGGGATGTAAAGCCTTGATGGTTCCACCTGCAGCCTCTTCTGCCATCATTTCTTTCAGTGCGTCCTGGAATGTCAGGGTCTCTTTAGCAAACAGCCTCTGCTGCAGATCTCTGCTTCTAAGGCCACATACCAGTCAGTCCCGGAGCCTGTCTTCTAGGTCGGGAAATTTGCAGAGCTGGGACGCTTGGTGTAGGGTGGCCACAAATTCAGCAACAGTTTCACCTGGCTGCTGTTCTCTCTGCTCGAATGCGTGTCTATATACAATAATGGACAATCTTGGTTCAAAGTGCTCCTTGAGTCTTTGTTTCGAGTCAGTGAAGGTGACTGACTCCAATGTAGCAGGAGCGACAAGGTTCTCGTCTATATCAAAGGTGGCTTGGCCACACACGCACAACAAAGTTGCAGTTTTTAAATTATCTTCTCTGACAAGGTTCGCTCTGAAGTAGTTTTCTACTCTTAAGACGTACGAACTCCAGCATTCGGGATGCGTCACATCAAACTCAGAAAGCTTGCCAACTTTGGCCATGGCTTGGCTGTTACTTCGTCTCCAATGCCTTATGCTGCTAGGGCTTCTGTGAGTTTCCTAGGAATGGGTCCCTTAGGAAGGTGATACTTCCAGAGTTTGTGTACTGGCAGGCAGAAGGGGGGAATGCGGTTCCAACCAGGGCGCTGTTGCCTGGTCTTACCCCTAAGTGACTTAGCTCTTTCTTCCTAGCAGCATAATCCCACCTCATTGCCACTGTTGTGTAGTGGGAACAGCGAGGCATTGAAGACATGGAGTTGAAATAACAGCTCTTTATTAGGTTCTCACAGAAGCAAGCTCTAGCAGCTGCTTGACTTATATTTATACGGACCCCCACTAGGCAGCAGCCAATCAATGTAAAATACTCATTCCCACCTAAAATTAAGGCTTAAAGTTATACAGTCAGTCCATAATTCAAATAGAACAATCAGTTAACTGTTTTTTTATAACAGACCTTTTGAATTGCTTAATACATAACACCAACATTCCCTTGCAAGCTGGGATGAAATTCACCAGAGATCTGAGCATTTCTCCTGTAAAATTATTCAGGATTTAAAATAGACCAAGGCTAAAAAGTCTCTGTTCCAAAATGGCATAGTTGGTAGACTGCTAGGCTGGAAAATGGCCAGGAGCTTCAAAAAGGGTGCTTTATTCCTTCCAGAAATATGTCAAACAGTTTATTGTTGGATGGATATTTATTAGTCTTACAAACCACTGGTAGACAAATTTTATTGTTCTTCCTATCACATGAGGATTTCAGAAGACTTGTAGCTTATGGTCAAAAACAACACAAGTGTCAAATTATATGGAAGAAGCAGTGGAACTAATCTTTTACTATATCTCTACTTGTCAAATTGTGAACATTCAAACCCTAAGTGCATCAATTGAAGACAAAACAAACATCTTTTTTGTTTTTAAAGGATTACAAAATGCTATTAACATTTACTTCCTGTTTGAGCAAGGTGACTGAAAGATTTTTTAAAAAATTACTGAGTAGGAGGGGAAAAATGCAATTTGTGGCCTGCAAAACTTTCATGGTTCTTGGATACTTTCACCATACCTTCTCTTCCCACACTGCTCTCAGTGTTATGTTTCTGCCATTAACTTACTTCCAGACTTTGCATGTTGAATAGAACATTTCAGTTATTTTGACATTTGTTGGGAATCAAACTTTGCCACTATCAAGAAATTTCTGACTTGTATAGCTGAGGAAGGAACGGGTGGATCTACCAGTACCACAAAATACTAATCAATAGAGAGGACTTTGGGGAAAACCACATATGCCATATTTCAAGAACATCTCACAGTTTCCCTAGCACATGCCTGCATGAATCTGCCTGTATCTCAGATTCAGATCCTGAGCTGGACAAGTATAGGTGTGAATGTATGACTGAGTGGAGCTTTTAGTTCAGAAAGTGTACAATAAATGTTTTGCCACTTTTCTGGCACTGGATTTCCTCCACTCACTGTGACGAGATGTGAGTGTTTTATTTTGTTTTTTTTAAAAAGCTTTGGTATTTTTTTTTATGAGAAAAATTATAGAAATCCAAATAAACTAGTCTCCTCTCACCATAATTATATTACCTCATCTAGCATAACTATAGGAATATCATTCATAAACAATGAAGCAATTTCTGTTCCAGAAAGAAACTTTATAGAAAAAACTACTTACGTTTACAGACAGCAGGAGGACTCCAATCAAGTGCGGTGCATTTGGAAACTTTTCCTGGGCCTCCAAGGACATACCCTTCATCACATATTGTCTCAATTTCATCATTGTATGTATATTGAGCTCGTCTAGGTCGAAAGCGGCCATTTGTCATTTGTGGAGGGAAACACTGAATTTCTATGGAGGAATATGAATAAAAATATGTGGTCAATCTTTTACATGTGAAACAAGAACATTTACCTATCCCAGGTCCTTGGGAAGTTCTCAATAGGTGGACAAAAATGCCAAATCCAGTTTGAACATCTCGCTGACTTTGTGATGAACAATAATGATAATCAAGGTTAATAAAAAAAACACACAGCTGATAGAAACAACTCAAGGTTGCTCTCACTGGTCACTGACCAGCCAATCCCTGGCTAATGCACTTTCTTTGCTAGCTACCTTACCTTCAGGACTAGGGATCGAAATGGAAGACTACAGAGACCCTAAGAGATTAGTTGATCCCAATGACTTTCCATCATTTATCGACCAGTTATTTACCCAGCCATTTATCGGCCATTGATCCCGGGGATTGATACCGACCATGTTGGCGAACCCTGCCCTAAAGCTGCTGCTCCATTCTTACTTTGTTGCTTAGCTTTATGTGATATTACAATACTCAGGAAAAAAAAAGAGTGAAATTAGTGCCCAAATGTAAGAACCACCAATACTGAAGTCATAAGGTGATTTCAGTCTAAAACAAAGATGGCCAACTGATTTGTGGATCAATTCTGCCCTTTAAACATATCTCCAAAATAGATTGAGTTGCCTCCTTGTGGGACTATCACCCAAATTTTCCCTAAAAGAAACAATTACTTTTTCTACACTTTGTGAGTTAGATACAAACTGTCTTGGTGAATTGTGTTCCTCTGTCCAAGAAATGCTACATGAAACATTCATTCCTCTTTGGCCCCTCATTTATTGCTGAGCCATATTACTTATGATAGATTGCAGAGAGAAATAAATGCTTGCCTCAAACAATCTTCAGAAGAATAATGCCCTTCTTTGAAGAAAGATATTTCTAAGTCTGATCAATTAAGATTAAAGGAAGTATAATATGCCATTCAGCTCCACAAGTTCCAGGAACTCATGAACCCTGAGTTTTAATTAATCAAAGATTATTAAAATATTGAAATTATAGGCATAATGGTTCTTTTTAAATTATCACTTTAAAACTAATAATAGCTAGTTTAGGAAATCAATTCAGTATGCATGTAAATAATCCATAAATCTAGAGGAAAATTGAGACAATATTTTCTTTTATATGTTAAAAAAATGGAAGGATGAGTCTTCAAAGGGAATGCTTGTTATTCCTGTTTTCTGTATGTCTGATAAAAACGAAATCAAATGTAAACATACAGAGACTTCTTTCCCTATTTTACCACAAAGTTTTTAACCAGGTCAGATTGATAGGAGCTGCAATTCTAGGCATGCATAGTAAGAAGAATAAAATGTATATAAAATTTCAAAAAATCATGACCATTAGAAACTCATACAGACCTTTACATTCAACCTTTGAACCCCATCCATTGTTGGTGCACAATGCATCTGGTCTGTCAGCAAATGTGTATCCTTCAATACAGGAGAATCGGATTCTCTCACCTTCCTTAAAAATAAACTTTGGAGATAGTATGTTTCCATTTTCAATATGGTCTGCCTGGCAAGTTATTTCTACCATAAAATATAAACAAAATGTTTTTCCATTAATATCCTCTTTATTTGCTTGAATAAAAAAGAATGCTGTATTACTAAAAAGATGAATAATAATACATTTTAATGCCATCTACTATTCAGTTATTTTCACAATCAAATGAAATGCCTTAAGCCTCACTGTTGTGATTCCTCACCAGCCAGTGGACCCCGCAGCTGAGTCTGGTAAATTAGAGGAGGAGGGGTCTTGAGTGACATCAGAGTCAGAGGAAGGCTCTGAGGAGCTCCAAGATTTACAGTCTGATGAGGAGCCTGGCCCCTCTACTCACGCTCAGGCTGAGACACAGCTGTGCTGGGAGTCTGAGTTGGACAGTGATGACTCACAGCTGGAAGATATCCAGGATACACATAAACACTGGCAAGAAAAGAGAGTTGGACAGAGGAATGCAATGGGGCAGCTCCAAAGGCAAAGAAGAAGGCATTAGGAAGCCACACCTTGGCTGCATAATAAAAGGGAAAGTGTGGGAGGTGCTGGTTGCCAAAGGCAACCATTTGTGTTGAGGAATCAAGTTTCTGTGAAACTTGTTTTGTTCACCTTGGACATTGACTCAGGTCTTGTGAATAATAAAAGGGGATTGGTTTTTTCCTGAGGTTCCAGCCTGCTTGTTGGAAGAGGGGTTTCTCCTTGTGAGCTTAACAAGGACTCACATAGCTGGGGCAGAACACTCACCCAGTGTCTTCATGTTAATATTAAACAGACGTGGGGAGGGTGCTGAGCACTGAGGCAACCTGCAAAGCACAACCTGTGGGCTAGACTTCTCCTTCCATGAATGCTGACTAGAACTATCTCAGAGGAAGAAGAAGAACTAGTGTAACACAGTGCTACCCAACTCAATCCTTGAAGCCAGCCCAGAAGGTTACCCTGATTAAAAGCCACTAAAATATCAAGGAGAGAAAGAATGGATGCATCCTACTCTCACCACAGGTATGATGAATTGCATTTTAATTCTATACTCAGATCTGAAATCTGACTGAAAAGAGTCACAATAATTCACTCCCTCCACAGTTCTCTGAAACAATTACATCTTCTTAAAAACCTTCCCCAGGAAGGGCAGGTTGGGGACTGGACAATATTTATCCAGCTAGTAGTGGCTCCTTAAGTGAAGGTAGGAGCATCTTCTCTCCCAAGTAAGAATTTACTACTGCCAGAACCCAACCACACCTCGCTGGACAGGAAGTCTTAGCCTATCAGGAAGGACATGGATTTATTAGACTGACAGCCAAGCTAATGGTCAGGATTAATAGGTTTAAATTCCTTCCAGACAATGAAACCAGACTAAGTCTCAGTTAGTTCCATGGGGGTTCCCTCAAGGTTTAGACTGAATCCAATGATTTATCCAATGTATGCTTAGCATATTTCTCACAATCCTTCTTACAGAAACCTGGGTTGCCTTGAATAAAACCACCAAATAACTATGGTGCAGGTGCAATAAGGACAGAATACTATGGATACTTCACTGCTCTTACCACCATGAGATAAGTCTTAGTAATAGCTCTAAGTCATACTCACTTGGCTTCACTTCTTGTTGTCCTCCAATGGTACTCTAGATCTCTCTTCTCCCATTTCACCTAGAAAGTTCCATTTAGAACCAATTGGGGTTCATCAGTTGTCTGGGGCAGACCAAATAGGTCCAGTCTTTCTGTAGTGGGGAGCAGCACGTGGAACTCCAAGCCAATCAAAGAGTGATCCAACCATGACAAAGGAGTGTAATAATCACACTCAGAGTTCACTTAACTTCCCCTCACTCACCTATACATTCTGGAACAGGTGCGCTCCAAGTGCCATCAGCCGTACAGGTAATTTTATTAGATCCTTTGATTTTCAACTGTCCAATACATCCAAATATCACTAGATCACCAGATAAAAAATCTTCATTCATTTGAGATTTTGCACCTTGAATAATCCTCACGTTGCTTGGTGGTACTATTGGACGACATTTGTTGACTGCAAATAAAGTAACATTGTGATATAAAGCTAATTAAAAAAATGTTTCAGATTTAGGAAAAAGGAAGCAAGCAAGGAAATTAAACATATCATGAATCCAACATATTTAAAAATCTGGTGATCTACATAGTGTAGTTTCCAGCAAAATGACAATTTAAATGTTTTTTTAATGAAACAAAAACAAAGTCATTTTATCCACGATCTTACTGTGATCATTAGAAAATACAAATCTATTAAAAATAGATTAGTGTATATATTCTCAATCAGCATAGAAATCTTTTACTCCATCACATTGGGTAATTGAGCAAATAATGGGAAATAGATTACCATGAAGTACATTATTATTGCAGCAATAGTAGCAATATTTATGAAGAATATATTTAACAATAAAGACATCAGCAAATAAATAATTTATCTCACTCGCATACCCCAAGCTAAGACTGAGGCATTTTAAAGAAAAATACACAAAAAGATTAGTTAAAGGAAATTATCAAGCTTTTTGTGGTTTCAATTTTTGAAACTACACTCAGTATATATTCACAGAGTAGATATCTATGTAAGCTAATTAAATGTGGGCTGAATGAATGATAAATGAATAAATAGATAACTAAAAAATGGAGATCAAGGTGTCCATTTGTGAGATGCCATAACTGTCTTTTACTATTCAGTAATAGGCCTGCATTAACTGAGGGATAGAATCAGGATCACGTGAAGTATTAATACCACTTTACAATGCCTTGGAAAGGCCACACTTGGAATACTGCATCCAGTTTTGGTCACCACGATGTAAAAAAGATGTTGAGACTCTAGAAAGAGTACAGAGAAGAGCAACAAAGATGATTAGGGGATTGGAGGCTAAAACATATAAGGGACAATTGCTGGAACTGGGTATGTCTAGTTTAATGAAGAGAAGGATGAGGGGGGACATGATAGCAGTGTTCCAATATCTCAGGGGCTGCCACAAAGAAGAGGGAGTCAAGCTATTCTCCAAAGCACCTGAAAGCAGGACAAGAAGCAATGGATGGAAACTAATAGAGGAGAGAAGCAACCTAGAACTAAGGAGAAACTTCCTGATAGTGAGAACAATTAACCAGTGGAACAACCTGCCTCCAGAAGCGGTGAATGCTCCAACACTGGAAGTTTTTAAGAAGAGACTGGACAGCCATTTGTCTGAAATGGTATAGGGTTTCCTGCCTGAGCAGGCAGTTAGACTAGATGACCTCCAAAGTCCCTTCCAACTTATTACTATTATTGTTGTTGTTGTTGTTGTTGTTGTTGTTGTTATTATTATTATTATTATTATTATTATTATTATTATTATTATTATTATTATTATTATTATAGTGTTCTTATCAGTACTCCCAATGAAAGGCCAACCCCCATTGAGGGAAAAAAGAATTCTAGAAATAAACCACTGGCTAAAGGGTTGGTGTCGCCAAGAAAACTTTGGTTTCCTCGATCATGGACTGCATTTCCTATGTGAAGGACTCTTGG